TTATGGAATATCAGTGCACGCTTCTCAAGTCATTAAACGATGCTATTTTTTCTTTGAAAAAGAAACCTTATAAGTTTCTTATAATATACTACCTCCATCCCAAAATGTTTGACGCCGTTGATTTTTTTAAAAATGTTTGTCGGTGACATGTGACCGGGAGTATCATGACTAGAGGCTTGAGGCAGACACAATCGCCCACGTGGCCTGGCACCCTCGGGGGGCGTCGGGCCCGAGGGTGATGTGTTCGCCCTCCTCTTTGTCTCCCCGAGGGGGTCGGACCGCTCCCGCCTCGGCCCCGAGGGCCGAGGCGCCCCGACCCCTTGTGGGTTTTGCGCCGCGTATATGGGGTAGGTGAGCATAGCGGGGCTCACCTAACCACATTTATTGCGGTTTGGACGAGCGCGTCACGCCGCATGTAACGCAGTGCAGCGCGCTCGTTTATCCGGTCTATGACCAGTCACAGACCGGTCAGATCGTGGGTTAGGTGGCGACAGGTGGTCTGACGCACGCCTCGCCCCATCCCGTCAGGACGAGAGCCTCCAAGCACTCGTCCCTAGCCGGAGCCGGCGTGTTAGCTCCTGGAGATGGCACGTTGGTTTCGGTCAGATATATGCCAGGCTTCATCCTAACCATTACAGGCAAGATATTGTATGAAGAAGGGCGAACATGCAGATTGTTAAACTGACACGTGGTGGACAAGAATGACCGATTTGTGACCGGTCTGACAATGGTCATGTCGTCAGCAGACAGCCATGTTCCCACGTCGCGCCTGCTTCCGGCGGAAGTGGAGGTAGGTATGGGCCGTCCCATCAGAAGGTCATTCGGACGGCAGCCATACAAATCTCCGTCCATTAATGAAGAGAAGTGAAGTTGGAGGGAAGAGAGGATGAGTCCCCACACAAAAGAAAGAGAGGGAGAGATGGTGCACGTGGGATCCCCTTGAGATATAAAAGGAGGACCTTGCCCACTTAGAGAGGGGGGAAAAACGATCCCAGAACGATCGGGGGCTGGCTCGCACTTTGTAGTTTCTTCATACACAGATCCACCAGAACACAGGAGTAGGGTATTACGCTTCTCAGCGGCCCGAACCTGTATACATCGCCCGTGTCTTGTGTTTTTTCCATTCTCGCGAACCTTCCACACACAGACTAGGAGCTTAGAATCTCACCCAGGGCCCCCGGCCGAACCGGCAAAGGGGGGCCTGCGCGGTCTCCCGGTGAGGAGCCCCACGCTCCGTCAATGTTTGACCGTTCGTCTTATTTAAAAAATTTAAGTAATTGTTAATTCTTTTTCTATTATTTGATTTATTGTTAAATATATTTTTATGTATACATATAGTTTTACACATATCACAAAAGTTTTTGAATAAAATGAACGGTCAAACATGCTTAAAAAAGTCAACGGTGTCAAACATTTAGGGAATGAGGGAGTATATCTTTGTAGAACAACTTTTCAACTTTAAAGCAGTTAATCTATTCGTTTACATTCTTAAATATTATCACAAATTCAGATAATTTATACACCACACATTTATTCATTATGAAGAAAAGACATGACTAGTGTTTGTGGTTACTAATTTACACCTTCGCAAACAAAAAAAAACAACTAGTACTACTCCCTCCACTCTAAAATATAGAATAGATACGTTTTAGTACTAGAAATTTAGATATGTTCATATTCATATATGTAGTATTAATTACGATATTATCTCGTTTAATATTATATTGCTATATTTAAAAACATATGCAGTACTAATTTGACTTCACTAGGCTTTTTTTTTTCTGCTAGCAGAAAATGGTACTAGCCGACTGAATAGTTCCCGTGCGCATGTGACAGCAACAACTGACAATAGTACTGGGATCCATGACTGCATTTCACCAGTACACACTCATATGGTGGTTGGCAGTTGCGTCATCGTTCGGCGCCCCCGTGCACGCGATCAACGTGCATAAATTTAGACACATGCCGGTGAGTTATTAACATCAGACGTACGCTAGTCGCTAGCTAACCTCCAAACATCTCAAACCGGTGGGGGTCACACACATTGCTAAAAACCGTGCACAAATTAGGCTCAGGAGATCTAGGAGAGACCATTGCTAAAAACGAAGGGATATGCGTACGCTCCGGGAGGCAGCTACCTATAAAAACATCAAGCCAAGAGATGTCACTCTCGTTCGAATTTCTTTTTCTTCTCGATGAGAATAGCCGGAAAGATTCTTTGAATGATACACGATGTATTTGTGAATTTGTCTACAAGAAGACATCTGTGATAACTTCGACAATTTTAAAATATGCTGATATGATTTTCTAGAGGTGGCTGTTGAAATAGAGTATACCTGTTTGCGCACATTTTGAACGTAATTTGTTTTTTTAAAAGAAAAACACAAGCGTCGCAGGTGAGATACAGACGCCAAAACACGGAAATACCGTGGGGTGTTTCGAGTGACAACGATGCATGGGCACTGCTGATGTTTGCTCGTCCTAATTTCTCCCCTTCCATTTTTAAAATTCATTTTCCATGTCCACGTCTCCTCTTGTCCGGGTTCATTTTTCCTCGCTTGTGTCTCGGCCAATTTTGTTCGTTGTTGCTGGAAAACATCGTGACAGGATTACTGCTACTGCCAACTCTAATGAGTGTTTCATTTGTTTCGGTTCCGTGCTCTCATTAATTTCCTCCAAAACTCCAACGAGGTTAATCAGAAGATGATCGTGCTCGCATCCAACTCCGACGGTGATGGAGCACTAGACAGTTGTACAACCCCTTACCTTAAGGCGTAATTAAGCTGGCCGATCGATGGTGTAAAGATAGACTGGTGGCTGGTGGACATTTTGGGTACTGCACCAGGCACTACTCCATCCGTCACATAATATAAATGATTTTAAAGGTTCTCGGTACAGATTTGTAGTCCTATAAAATGTCACATCCTTTAATATCTCTTATATTATGGGACATGTGTTAGTACTATGTCCCATTCTAACCTTATACTCTCTCCGTCCCTAAATATTTGACGCTGTTGACTTTTTTAAACATGTTTGACCGTTCGTCGTATTCAAAACATTTGTGAAATATGTAAAACTATATGTATACATAAAAGTATATTTAACAATGAATCAAATGATAGGAAAATAATTAATAATTACTTAAATTCTTTGAATAAGACGAACGATCAAATATGTTTAAAAAAATCAATGGCGTCAAATATTTAGAGACGAAAGGAATATGTGCAACACTGTGCTTTTGTTTTGAACGCATATTTCACGTTTGTCCTACCAAATTTTAGTGCTGGAACGAATACCATACACCAACAAAGTTGAAGGAGATAAAATCTACATTTTCTACGATCATATAGTCAAACACATCACTGCGCATGCATCATCACACACATATCGACCAAGGAGAGATGAAGACCAGTGGTAAATTCATTATCACATTAAATTTGTACTTATTTCACACTTGAACGAGCATAATCCTATATATTATAAGAGTAAAATCCAATAGATGAAATTATGCACGCACAACTGCACAAGTTCTTTATAACCCTGATGAGTATAAGAACACTACTATTTCGTCAATCTTGTGGTGTATGACGCCATGCTACGGATGCAATTTTTTTTCTTTGGTTTTAAGGAGTACCAGGTCAAAAAGACCATGAACTGCGTAGCACTTTCCGAACGACCGCATTATCAATTCAACTCCCGTGCTGCAACTTTGTGCAGTCCACACCATTAGGTAGTAGCAGAAAGCATTACTGCAGCATTAACCAGCACAGGGCATGCACCAAAACAAAAATCGTCAACACAAAAAACCATCGTCTCTACCTACTCCAGCTCCCATTCTCCCGTCCATCCTCCACCACGCACGCTCGCACGAATGAAAACGAAAGCCACCACGGGTTAATATCAGATTCACCGAAACCCTTTTTAGAAACACCGAGGAGTTTACCGGCTAGCTCCGCGAGATAATGGGCTAGTTGATTTGAGTTCAAAGCCTCACCCACTTTATTTATTTGATATTAGATTTATCAAATCGTTTGGGATAAGATTATCGTCATCTAATAATTTGACGGTTACAATAAAAATTATATGATTATCGTGAGGTATACGTTGATATAATATAAAAAAAATTGGGAGGATTATCGTACCATGGTTTTGTAAACCCAGCCAGTGCTACGGCGCCGGGGGGCACCGGTCCAGCTGCGCCGTTGGACTCGCTGGCCCCTCGTTCACATCACCATGTTGGCCACATGGTTGCTGCTGCTAGCTGTTTCGTGTTTCGCCCACGCGAGCGACCGGACCACACGCACGCACGAGCGGCCCGTGCCTATGACAGCGCGGGCCCCCCGCGTCGCAGGCGAGGGGGGAGAAAGCGAGAGCCGAGAGAGAGAGAGAGAGAGAGGCGTGTGTGCGTAGGTTTGCTTTGCTCGGCGCGACAGTGGCTGGCTTTTGTGGTGGGTGCGGTTGCATGCCGGGTCGGTGAGGGACATGCTACTGCCCTCGCGACGCATCCAATCCAACCCTACCCTCCATGGGCCCCACCTGCCAGCCAGCGTCAGCCGTGACTCGCTGGCGACGAGAGTACGGTACGGAACGGGTCGATGCGTCGGTCGCACCGCCGGTTCACGGGCCACGTATAGGAGTACTAGTACTCCAGTGTGCGTCCGTACTACGGGCGGCAGCGAGAAAAGCCGCAACGGAAGGAGAAGGAGAAGGAGAGGAGATGCCATGTGCATGTGGGGGGTGGGGGAGTAGTAGTGGTGGCCAGACGCGGTCGGACGTCGCGGCGCAGAAGATCCCCCGACGAGACGAGACGAGACATGTCGGATCCCCCCGGCCGCTTTGGCCCGCGGGCGACGGTGACAACACCACGCCGCGCGCTCCACGGCAACGCAACGCAGGAAAAAAGATTCGCGCCGCGGTACGGCGACGACGCTGCTCGTCCGTCCGATGCGACGATGGGTGCCCAATTATTACTCCTCCACTACTACTCCTCCACCCGCGCGACGCGAAGCGAAGCGCACAAACCAACCAACCAGCCGGGCTGGGCATACTGCGACTCTGCGAGCATCCACCGCGACCCGTCTCTCTCTCTCTCTCTCCCACCTCCACTGGGCGCGGCCTGCCTTGCCTCCTGTGCCTCGTGCAGCTCCCCTCCTGCGACCGCGACCGCGACCGCCGCTCGCTGTCCAAAAGCCTCAAAGCCCAAGAGACCAGGGCGGCTACCTCCTCCTCCTACCACCACCGCCACCACTAGTCCCCCCCCCTCCCCCTTCAGCCAAAGCCTGCGACTATCCGCAACCTCAACCTCAACCTCACGCAGCTCCCGCGCCAACCGCGACCTCCCGGATCCGGCCACGCCGCCCTTTTCCGGCGAGATCCACCTGCGGGAATTCCGTGGTTGTTGGAGGCGCCGCGGCCGATACAGGGCGGGGTGCGGTTAGATCCATGGAGATATGGAGATGGAGCTGAGCTGAGCTAGCAGCGGTAGTACAGATCGTGGCTCGCGCGTGGCGTCCCTGTCCGTTGGTTCCCGGCGGGTGGTGCTTTTGGGAGGAGTCGAGGAGGAGGAGGAGGAGGCATGGCCGCCGCGATGGAGATGGCGGCGAATCCAGGTGGTTCAGGTTCGAGTTCGTGCCTCTCCCACCCATCGCCGCATTTCCCGGTGGAGTTTTTTCTTGCCCCCCTTTTTTCCGGTAGCCGCCGGGCTGTGGCCTGGTTGAAATTTTTGGCGGTGCTTTGGCGTGGAAAAGTTTGGTTCGTTTGAGACCGAGACAATAGTTGATTTGAGTGGACTTGAGTAGTTGACTGGCTTGTGTGTTGAAAAGGTGCCGAAATTTCCCTCTAATTTTGAGCCGATGTCACCGAACCAAAACGAGAAAAATTAGGCAATCCGTTCCCTTCTTTTTTTGCTTGATGAGTAGTTGTTGTCACCCTTGCTGATATGGGTAAACTCTTTGTTCCCACGATTTATGATGTTTGTGTGATATTTTTTTTTGTTTATTTAGTTCCGTAATTCGATGCTTCTGAATTGTGATCCGTCAAATAGGAAAAGCCGATTGATGTTTTCGCTGCTAATTTTGTTCGATTGTTTCAGTTTAGTTTGTAGGTGATGCATTTTTTTTTTGTGGCTAGTTTAGCTGATGAATTGGCGCTTCTCTGCTGATGATAAACTGTGTCGGTTTAGTGGATCTTTGTTCGCTTCAACTATGTTTAGGATTTCTCATAATTTATCAAACTTGTTTTCTCAATTCGTCTTTCTTGTTCTGATGACTCAATTTTGTTTTGCGATTCAATTGTTTCTGTGTAGGAACCTGCAGCGATGCACTATTCCGGGAGCTATGGCATGCTTGTGCTGGTCCGTTGGTCACGGTCCCGAAGCGCGGCGAGCGCGTCTACTACTTTCCCCAGGGTCATATGGAACAGGTGCTCACCGATCGGCTTGATCTACGAGTTCTTCATGCCAAATCTCATCGATTAAACTTTTTTTTTACTTAGTTTACGTTTTTTTTTTCACCTCAAAGGCTCAAACTGATCACGGTTTGTTCTATAGCTTGAGGCGTCTACAAACCAGCAGCTTGACCAGTACCTGCCGATGTTCAATCTACCATCCAAGATCCTATGCAGCGTGGTCAACGTAGAACTCCGGGTCAGTGTTTCTTTAATCTGTCTGGTGTAACCTCCCATGTGAGTGTGCTGGAAATCGCCAGTCCGGTTACTGTAGCTCGAAATATTATTCAATGCTTACCGGTTGAGTTCTGCAATGCAGGCGGAGGCTGATTCAGATGAAGTTTATGCTCAAATTATGCTGCAACCAGAAGCTGATGTGAGTATATTCTCTACCCCCCTGCCAATATGTAAGGGGGGATATATATTGCTTTTGCAATGCATGCTATATTGCTACTGTAGTATTTCTACTTTCTTATTGTAGCAGCCTTTAATGGTTATAAATCATGTCCTTTTGTCATTCACATTGATTGATTTGTTTGCTTGCATTTGCTTGTTCAGCAAAGTGAACTCACCAGTCTGGATCCTGAGCTTCAAGATCTTGAGAAATGCACAGCTCATTCCTTTTGCAAGACATTAACAGCTTCAGATACAAGCACACATGGCGGTTTCTCTGTTCTTAGGAGGCATGCTGAAGAATGCCTTCCTCAGCTGGTTAGTATTAAAAGCATATTATGTCTCCACAGGTTGTTAAGATTGTTATATCCAAGTGTCAAATATCTTCTTGAGTTCTCGTATGTAGCAGTACCAGTTTATGATATTATTGAATAGTGTGGTTGCTTTGCAGGACATGTCTCAGAATCCACCATGTCAAGAACTGGTTGCCAAAGATCTCCATGGAACTGAGTGGCATTTCCGTCACATCTTTCGTGGTTAGCTTGAATCTTATCATTCGGGTGTTCTGTTATGCTTTCAATAAAAGCAGGGCCAGCCATGTGTGGTCTAAAAAAAATCTCATCATTTGGCATGATTCTTCCAATCTTGTTGGCACTATGTTGTCCTTATTATTTTGGTGTAACACTTTATTTCTCAGCCACACATGCTCACCATTGTGTAGTAGCATGTGGAATATATAAGCTGTATATCACTTTCAGGATCGCAATCTCATATCTTTCCATTTTTTTTTACAGGACAACCTAGGAGGCATCTGCTTACAACCGGTTGGAGTGTCTTTGTTAGCTCAAAAAGATTGGTTGCTGGCGATGCATTTATCTTCCTGAGGTACACAATACTAAGCATGTAACTTGAAGGCATTAGGTGCACTTGCATCTATCTCATGACTCAATTTAGTTGCGGATGAATCTAGTCTACAGTTATTACTGGTTTCTTCCGCTAAATATCGTTGAATAACTTTCAGGGGCGAAAGTGGTGAGCTACGGGTTGGAGTAAGGAGACTTATGAGACAAGTAAATAACATGCCATCATCTGTCATATCAAGCCACAGCATGCATCTTGGAGTCCTTGCAACAGCTTCCCATGCTATCTCCACTGGAACCCTCTTTTCTGTTTTCTACAAACCCAGGTTCAATAAATTCTCATTTTGGTTATGCCCTTTGTTTCTGGTTCTTTATTGTATTGAGTTATGGTGCAAATTTTAATAGTAATGGTTGACGTTTAGACCTATATAAAACTGAATTACTGAAATATGGCATTATTGGAATATTGTTTACTCTGCTGAGTGTATGATCATTATAAAAATAAACTTATGTATGATGATTTACCCATCCAGTCATGCATTGTTTTTGATAAAGTGGAGTAATACTTGGGTTATCCTAATTAGCATTATGATGTGCAAGTTTACATTATCTTGCAGACTAAACTTAATGTACATCTATTATGTTCCCAGAACAAGCCGGTCTGAGTTTGTTGTGAGCGTTAACAAGTACCTTGAAGCTAAGAAGCAGAACTTGTCTGTTGGAATGAGGTTTAAGATGAGATTTGAAGGTGATGAAGCTCCTGAAAGAAGGTACAATCTTGAGTTTCTTTCTGCATAATTATGCTAGCTTTACTCCTGTAGTTTACGGTGCATATCATAAACATTTCTGTTTCACAGGTTTAGTGGAACAATTATTGGTATTGGGAGTGTGCCAGCAATGTCAAAATCTCCATGGGCAGATTCTGACTGGAAATCTCTGAAGGTAATTCATATTTTAGTTTTGAATTTTGATGGTTAAATTGGAAGATACTTTTTTGAGATGTTTTTTGTCCACTTATGTCTTGGTCTCTTGGTTGGTCCAGATCTGATTCTGTCCTGTAATTATTCGTAGGTCCAATGGGATGAACCTTCGGCTATTGTCCGTCCAGATAGAGTTTCACCATGGGAACTGGAACCATTGGATGCGAGTAATCCACAACCACCTCAGCCTCCATTGAGGAATAAGCGTGCAAGGCCTCCAGCTTCACCTTCTGTGGTTGCGGAACTTCCTCCAAGTTTCGGTAAGAATGAAGTCCTGAACACCTGTGACAATTATGGTTCTGATTCTTGATTACAAGGCTCAGGTCATAGTTGGTGCACATAAACTTTTATATAACTTACTCCCTCCGTTTTACAATGTAAGACTTTCTAGCATTGTTCACATTCATATAGATGCTAATGAATTTATATATATAATAATGTCTAGATTCATTAGCATCTATATGAATGTGGGCAATGCTAGAAAGTCTTATATTGTGAAACCGAGGAAGTAGTGTATTATCCAGCTTAACATTTCAATGCTGGTGCGACTTACATCAGGACTATGGAAACCCCCATCTGAAGCAGCCCAAACTCTCTCATTTTCGGAACCACAACGGGCTCGAGAGATATTTCCTTCAATTCCTGCATCAATCTTCTCAGCATCATCACATGTTGAATTCAATTCAAAGAACGAGCCATCCATACTAAGCAATCAGTTCTACTGGTCAATGAGGGATTCAAAAACTGATTCTTTTTCTGCTAGCACTAACAAAACAAGAGTTGAAAGAAAGCAAGAACCAACTACTATGGGTTGCAGATTATTTGGAATTGAAATAAGCTCAGCTGTAGAAGAAGCCCTGCCTGCAGCTACTGTTTCAGGTGTCGGTTATGATCAAACTGTTCTCTCTGTAGATGTGGACTCTGATCAGATCTCACAGCCATCTAATGGCAATAAATCCGATGCCCCTGGAACAAGCAGTGAACGTTCTCCTCTTGAGTCCCAAAGTCGTCAAGTGAGGAGCTGCACAAAGGTGAGAGTTTGTCACGTTATTTCCATTTTCAAGATGCTGAAGCATACAAAGAACTTAATTACTTTTCCTTGTGCAGGTAATTATGCAAGGTATGGCAGTTGGGAGGGCTGTGGACTTGACAAAACTAAATGGTTATGGTGATCTTCGCAGCAAGTTGGAGGAGATGTTTGATATACAGGGGGACTTGTGTCCCACCCTGAAGAGATGGCAAGTTGTTTACACCGATGATGAGGATGACATGATGCTTGTCGGGGATGATCCTTGGGAGTAAGAATCTTTACCTCTTCACATTTGTATATTTGATGCAAGTTTTTGGCATCAAAGTTCTAATCTGATGGTAATGCATGTTGTTGCAGTGAATTTTGTAGCATGGTGAAACGGATTTATATTTACTCCTACGAGGAGGCCAAGCTGCTGGCTCCAAAGTCTAAGCTGCCAGTCATAGGTGACACCATCAAATTGAGCAGTATGAACTCATCACATGAATCCGTCGACCTGGACAATCATGCCTCAGTTACTAACAGGGACTGCTAACCATTGACTTTGCCCTAATTCTGATATGATCATTTGAGGAAATTCCAATGTTTCTTCATTACTGCTTCCTGTGCTGAAGACGCAACGCCCTTTTGTCTTGAATTGTGGTGGTATTTGAACTGCAAGTGCCAGGAAGTTCCCAAGACTGGCAAGACCGCCTGGAAGAGGCATTCTGGCAAATGCATGCCGTTCCAAATTGTTTTGTGTTTTGGTAGGAGCCTTGGCGTTCTTGTCTGGTGCCCAGATTTAGGTAAGAAGTCCTGAACACCAAGATTGATGACGCTTCGGCCCTCTCCCCGTTGCTTAGGAGTAAATAGGATTTGCATATGTATATATAGTATCATTAGGATTCCTGATTGCCTGCTATTGTGATTCCAAGTAATTTGGATGCATTAATGCAATTATTATTCAGTAATTGTTATTTTTAGCAGCAAACCTGTGAGTGATGGTGGTGGATGTGTTGATCTTGCAGCATTTGCTACCTTTCTCTCCATTGTGGAAGCCATCTGTACATAAACAAACTACTATCAAATAAGTAATGTTGTGCTTTCTAACCATCCATTGTCATTATGGTTCCTTTTGTGGTTGCTCTCTTAGTGATGAGTTTGCGTACGTTCATCTGCTTTTTCTTTGTTCATGCGCTTCGGTACCTTGATCTCCGATACGTACAAGGGAATAATTAAGAGTCGCAAATATGTTTGCGGACTCTTGGCTTAAGTGCATTCTGACTCGACAAGTTTGATCTCTTCAATTTTAGAGCATACGTAAAGTTAATATTATACATGTTTGTAGATAAATATAATTATATTTACAATACCAAATTAATTTCATTAAATCTATAATTGAATATATTCTCATAATATATATTTATCTTGGGTTAAAAATATTATTTGAAAATATTACTATTTCTTTCTATAAAGTTGATTAATAAACTTAAAGTTGTAACTAAAGTTCAAATGAATTATATTCTGAAAGTGAAAGGGAGGGAGTATGCCCTAAATATCGTGGCTCTTGTTTGATATTATATTAGAGCATCTCCAACAGTCTTGCTAAATTTGTCTCTCTATTTACTCATTTAGCCAGCCCTCCAACCCATTTGGAGAATAAAGTGTAGTTTGCACTGCAAGTCTGTCCATTATACTCTCCAAACTAACGGTGGGACCAGTATGTCAGTCTCACATGGCAATAGTATTCCAGGCGATTCGGTCGGCGGCGGCGCGGAGAGGCGGCGAACCGGCGGCGTGGAGAGGCGGCGGAGGGAGCCCGTGACTCGGCGGAGAGGCGGCAAGGAGAGGCGACGACCCAGCTGGCGGGCTCTGGCGGCGAACCGGCGGCGCGGAGAGGCGGCAAACCAGCGACGCGGAGAGGCGGCGACCCAGCGTGGAGGCAGCGACCCAGCTGGCGGGCTCCGACGGCGCGGAGAGGCGGCGAAACGGCGGCACGGAGAGGCGGCAAACCGGTGGCGCGAAGAGGCGGTGAGGAGAGGCGGCGACCCATCGGAGAGGTGGCGAACCGGCGGCGTGGAGAGGCGGCGAAGGGAGCCCGCGACTCGGCGGACTGGCTCCAGCGGCGTGGGCTTCTTCCACGCGTCGTCATCGTCGCTCATTGCCGGAGCGAATGGCGGCAGCGACGGCGGTGGCGGAGCTCGAACTTTGAGTTGGGGAACGTGGTGGCGGCGACTTGGCAGGCTGGCTCCGACAGTGGCGCTGGGTTGGTGTGGGCGCTGGAGCACGAGAGAGGAGGGGATTATTGACGTGGGGAAGAGAATCCATGTGGGGCCACCATTTGGCGAGGTGCTTTTGTCTGGCCAAAGTTGGCCAGCCGGCGCACGAGTTTGGCCAGCCGGATGGCTTGGCCATCGGTTGGCCAGTGTGTTGGAGCTCTTTTTTGTGCTTGAATGGCCAAATTTTAACTTGGAGAGGCTAATAGAGAGACTGTTGGAGATGCTCTTACGATGGCTCGCAGGCGGGGATAGAGATATGGGGGCACGTCGGCGTTTCCATAGTGCCGGGAGAGGGGGGGAGAGAGGAGGGCGACCGGCGTGGCGGAAGAGAAGCAAGGTCGGCAACACATGTGGAGTTGTGCTATGGCCTGGCGGTAGATGTGTCGCTCGCTTTTTTTTTTTTCTGTTTCTTCGTTTCTCTTCCCTTCTTCCCTTCACATAGGAATTGGATGATGTGGAGACTTTTAGAGCATACTGAGTAAGATTATTGTACCTGCTCTTACAGATTACTCTATCCATCCTAAAAAAGACCAAACCTAGGATCTGTTTGGGGGAGCTTAAGATTCTGAGAAGTAGCTAGTTGGTAGCCAACTTCTAAGAGTCTAGAAAAAACTGAGTTTCTCAGCTTGTGGCTTCTAGTTCATTTTCTGGTTTCTACAACTACAGCTTCTCAGAATTTAGATAAAAACTGTGCTGCTTAGAGGAGCTTCCGATTCTGAAAGAAGCTGTAGCAGTTGAAAGCTCTCCTAAACAAGGCTCTAGTTAGGAATGGGGCATTGTCTAGTCCATGATTAGGTTGGTTTTTTTTTTAAAGGACGGATGGAGTTCACAGTTGCACGAACCCGTGGACGAAACGGACACCGAGTCACTCCGCCACGGGAAGAACGCGGGAACGCAGCACGCGTGGTCCACCCGAATCGGAGTCAGCCAGCCAAGCCACCTAATTAACCTAACTGTTCTCGTCCATATCTAACGACGGCCGCCTCCTCTTCCCCCTCGCCCAGCGCCGCCCCAGCGAAAGCAAAATCCCCTCCACGAACCGCGCGAAGAAAGTATTTCTCGCTCACCGGAATCCGCCGTGAACCGTGAGCAGTTGATGGGTTTCAGGGGAACCGCCGGCGCAGCACCCTCGTCCTCCCGCACGTCCGATCTGCCCCCTTCCACGCCGTGGTTCCGGGAGCTGTGGGGGGTCAACGCCGACAAATAGTAGCAGCCGCCGTCGCCGAAGGTACGCCAAATCGAGAGAGGAGGTTGGACGCTGTGCAGCGCTGTGCTATGTGTGTGTGTGTGTGTGTGTTGGGGGGGGGGGGGGGGGTGTTGATGGTGCTTCTTGGGTTAGATAGATCATAGATGGGAACGGGTATATATTGGGGATGAGGTGAAGGGGCATCGCTAGAAGAGCGAATTCTGTGTCATCAATTGTTGTGAACAAAGAAATAAGTTATGTTAGTAATCAGTAGCTGCGTATAACATGACAAAAGTATAAATCTTATTCATTACAATGCCGGAAACAAACATTAGCAGCAGCTAAGCACCAAAAATAACTTCAAGTGCAAGGAACAGTTTTTGTATTTCATGTTTTATTATTGATTTTAGGTGTCTTCTTAATGATACGCTTGTATTTGATTGATTGGCCTTTTTGCGCACATTATAGGACAGCATTGGTGGATTTCTCGATTTGCTGATTGAATCAATTAAAGCAAAGGGAGGGGCGTCCCTTCAGCAAGAGTTGGGGGCTTATTTATTTCAGTCTGATAATAAGACTTCTTTAAGAAGACTGTGCCGACTGTAAATATGTATAGGCAGAAGATACCCAATTCTGGGTGGGCTGCTTTTGATCGCAGGTGGCGCAGCAAAGATGGAAGAGGGGATGACACCGATGTCAATTCATTTCCAGCTCTCTCAGATTATATAGCCCCCAGTGCTGCTAGTAGCTCAGTTGCGGAAAACAGTAGGCCAAAAGCAAAGCCTTTTGCATCAGTGCTTCGTCCTTCTGTTGATTGTGCAGCTGATGGTAATGAAAACGGAAATAAGCATTTCACTTGTCACAGGGAGAATGCAAACTATGGTCTAAAATCTGCATCTGAAAATAAAATTGAGCTGCTGAGGGGTGCTCATAGTTGGGCCGACAGTAATTTAATTGAGGATGTACTGGCCTCTGTGAACAATGATGTTGGTGAAGCATCTGCTTTGTTGAAAGCTATGGCGTCTCCTTGTTTTCCAATAAGGGAGGATGGACTACCTGATCAGCTTTCTTCTGAGATTAATAAAACACATGGTTTACCATCAGGAAATGGTACAGCAGAAAATAATCTTGTAAATGACTCGCAGTTGTTGCCTCTGCCAATGAATATGTCGTCTGTACCCATAGAACCGGAAGTGGAAGAGCTCGATGACGATTACTTTAACCACAGGAAAGATGCATTGAAGATTATGAGGTAATACATGCAATCATCTTTTATGTTAGGTTCTCGAATTCTCTGATATTAGCATAATATTTGACTGGAGGATTTTGTATAGCAGACGCATATTGGGACTTCTTTTATTCACTGTGTTATGTTATAACATGGTGAAAGTTTGAAACTATTTTCTTATAGTAAATAGAACCCAAGCTCATGTTGTGTCAAAAGGTCGGTTCAGTGTGGACTTTGCATGTGTTAAGATCATATTTTGTTGCACAACTAGTTTCTTAGTTGCATGATTCTGATTATTGTTGTCGATGCCGATAACAGTAACACTGCAGAAGAATTGTGAACCATGAATTGCTGCTGAAAATTGTACAAACATGTTTCAACTTAAACGATGGACCATTCAGTTGAACAAAAAGGCCATTTTGATATTGAAAGAATGGGGGATACGTGAAATCTGTTTGCTGTATTTTTATAGCTGTTGTTCACGCACCTCATTTTTGTGAGGACAACTGAACCAAGTCCTTTTTGGGTAAAAAAAAATGAGACCTTTTATTTCTTTTTGGTCAATAGGGCTGCCACGAAGCATTCTCAGGCTGCGAGTAATGCTTTCTTGAGAGGTGACCATGCTGCTGCCAAGGAACTTTCCCTCAGAGCTCAAGAAGAGCGATCCGCTGCTGAAGAGCTGAACAAGAAGGCAGCAAAAGAAATATTTCGCCTCAGGAACAGCAATAATAGCATTTGGAAGCTAGACATGCATGGTCTACATGCATCAGAGGCTGTGGAAGTACTGGAACGGCATCTTCACAGGATAGAATTCCAGCCACCAGGGAATAATGCAGCTTCATCTGATGAAGTAGCTAGGTCTGAACCCAGAGTGTCTGGTCCAAGCATTGAGCCCGGCCCAGGGAAGGTGGTGTTTGTTCGTCCCATACAGGCTATCTTAGAGGTGATCACAGGTAATATATCGTTTGTCCGTAGGATATGAGTCCTTTGGTTCTCTTTTTCGCTAATATGTTGTTGCAACTATGTTCGGAATTATGAACTGCCAATTTTTTGTTTAGGGGATTTTTTTTTTCATTTAGGGGATGTGGATGAATGCAATATAATCTCTTGATTTCTGTTTGCACTTTGCAGGGATTGGCAAGCACAGCAAAGGGCAGGCCTCACTACCTGTTGCAGTCAGGGGCTTCCTCATTGAAAATGGGTACCGATTTGATGAGCTGCGGCCTGGTGTGTTCTCTGTTCGTCCTAAATTCCGTCGCCGGTGAACCTGTGGAAGTGTGTACTGTACCGCCAAATGGAGCATTACGCTTTGTGGCATGTCATAGTTTATTTACTTTGAAATTGAATGTAACATGCAATAGTTTATTTACGTTGAAATTGAATGTAACCATTTGTAAAATGCTCAAGTTGTTTATCTAAAACAGAAAGCCAATTCAATTCTGTAACCATACGAATCGGCAACGAGTGCAATGTGCTAGTGTTGACAGCATAGATTTGTGATTGCACTGTGTATGGCTTTGTGCTACTAAACGCAGGGCATAAGCTTCTCACTTCTCAGCCTGAAGTTAAAAATCACAAAGGAATCAAGGTGAAGGAAGAGTTCTTTTCTATACTTTCTTAACTTCTACTCTTCCTTTTTCATATACATGTTTTCTAAACGGTTAAACGGTATATTTTTAATTTCTTTCAACATTTATTAAAAAAATATTTTAATCATTTTCAATATTTTATTAACATTTAATTAAGAGAAAATAAAAAGAAAAAACCATTGAATGTCATCGACAAATATAAGTTCCATGAAATATTATCGTACTAGTGACTTTATCCTAGAATACTATCGTCGTTAGGGTTCTGTTAGCATCCCTCCACTAAGTGCTATAGAATGAACAGGTAATATCTCTAGACAAAAATCGCTTGTACTGTGATATTATGGAGATCTAATTTGTCGCATGCATGGGATGGATGGGTAATATCTCTAGACAAAAATCGCTTGTACTGTGATATTATGGAGATCTAATTTGTCGCTGGCATTTCTTCGATTTGGGTATTGGATCGGGGTGTTTGTCGATAATATTTCATGGATTTTTTTAATTAATTTTATTATTCTGTGCGAGAGGGGAAGTTTCCCAATTCGTTGAAAGGAAACCCAGCCGAAGAGATGATAAACGAGGCAGCAACTGTTCGTCGTTGAGGAGCATGCCACGTGGCAGCGGTTTCTGCGGCGTTTCCTGACTTGTGGCTGCCGTGCGGCGTGTCCTCGCGGCGTTGGCCTTTTGGCTTCTGTGGCGCCGAGCTCCGGCGCCTCCGGGGCCCAGGTGTCAGTCGGTTGCGCAACACCACCCACTGCTCGTCTCCGATCCTCACCCAAGCCTCTCTCTCTCCCTCTCACCGGAGGCAAGGTGGGGATGGCCTCGCCGGCGGTGGCGACGCGGCACCCTTCCCCCTCCTTCTTCGGCCCGGACCCTCGCCGCCGCCGCGTGAGTGCCCGCTCCCCCTCGCCCGATCCGATTCGGCCCGTGTCATTTCAGTGTTTTTTTTGTTGCGTATTCATGCGCTTGCGAATTGCGGTGATAGTACTCCGCGCTTTCGATGGTGGAGTTATGTATTTTGGTGGTGGGAGCTTTCTGTGGCAACGATCCGGTTCTGTTGGGGATTGAGCGCTGCACCTCGTTTTCAGATTACTGCAACCTGTGCGAGTTATCGAGGCATTATAGATCTGGACGGCGATAGGAATTGGTTTCAGATCGAAGTATATGCATGGTGTAGCTTTGCGCATAACAGATACCGATGAAGTGATACATAGTGTTTTTTTTTTTTAATATCAACAGGAGAGAAACGATGAATTAGTACACTACCCGCTTCAATTGTGTTTAGCTTTTTCGTTGAACAAGTTGTGCTCTATAATGATCATATTGTGTAATTTTTTTTTCTATTTAGAGAAGATCATGTTGTGTAATATGACCATAGGAGTTACACCTACCCTGGCAGTAACTTTCATATAGTCTATTTCCTTCCTTGTTTTATTCCTGAGTTGAATTCTTTTCTGAAACATGGCATCCACGTTTTGCAGGGGCATTCGCCTTCGAATCTAGGCTTCCGAAGATCGGGATTGCAGTTAAAGGTTACTGCAATTTTTGGGTGGATTAAGGGAGACACAAGAACACGTGAATTGAACCCATCTGCTGAATCATATACGCTTACAGGGTCAGCCTCAGAGGTGTTTCTCGGGTGAACATTGTTTCAAGTACATATGCACCTGATTCATGATTTTTCCTAATCATTCATTGGTTTCAGGCAGACACCAAGCCACGTGAGGTTTCTGTTGCTGTTGTTTCTTCTATTATGGACATTCCTTCAGCAGATTGGGATGCCTGTGCAGTTGATTCAGTTGATCCTGACAATTTTAATCCTTTTCTGACCCACGCATTCCTCTCAAGCTTAGAGGAATCGGGTTCTGCAGTGAAGGTGAGTGCATGAAGCATCGCTTGTTGGTTCCTTAATAAGAACAAATCCCAGTGGATGTTTTACCATTACATTATTTTTCGACTACCCATTTGTATACGCATAACAAGGACATCGATATACATATGTCTATTTGTTTTGAGCGGTTAATTCTGCTTACTGAATCATACAGGCGTTCCAGTTTTGCTTACCACACACTCAAGCTCAATTCCAAGTATTATTATATTTTGCAGATTGTTGTTGAGTATTGACGATATACTTTTCATGTTTAATTTACAACAGCACGACATGAGATTGATTGTTCAACATTACTGTGTTCAGTGTGTGCATTTTTATATTACGTGTTCTCTATGATGATATGACTGTGGAGCTGTTGTATTCATTTATTTACACCGCCGTATGATTAGATTTGATGCTTAAATACATAAGCTATGTCTTCATAATAATGCACTTACAGTGCAAAATTCTGAATATCTATATGCTCTAACCTTTATTTTGTACCAACAAGCATAGTGCCACACTTATTATGTTTTGGTCCTCCTTAAAAACCTTGATGTCCTTGACTTATTTCAGGAAACAGGGTGGTTACCTCTGCATGTTGTTGCACGGGATGAGAATGAAACTGTCGTTGGTGTTGTCCCACTTTACCTGAAAAGGTTTAACATCATTTAACACCATAGCATGTTTTGCTGCTTGCTCCATATTTCTTCATCAGCTGAACACCAACAACGTGAATTCACAGCCATTCAAGGGGAGAGTTTGTATTTGATCAATCATGGGCAGAAGCTTACTATAGCTATGGACTCGAATACTACCCCAAGTTGCAGTCTTGTGTGCCTTTTACTCCAGTAACTGGTCAAAGAATATTAGTTCGAGATACACCATACAGGGATCAAGTTTTTGAAGCTTTAGTGAAAGAATTGAAGAGTTTGACTACCAAGGTATTGAAATTAGAATTCTTGCAGTTACTGCTTTGAATTATTGTTTTACTAACTTTTCCTGCTATTGAAGAATTATAATAAAATGCTATTGCTTCTTTGACTATTTTGGTCGTTGATCCTTATTGACTTATGGTATAACTTGTCTTTTTATATTCTTGGTATTTACATGAATATTCAAGAAAGCAAAGCTCCTGCCATTGAATTATATTAATTCTGTAGTCCTCTTGGAAGCAACAAGTCAATAAGAAAATAATAAAAGGAAAGATTTAAATTCATGGCCCTCATTACACCTTATGTTTCTTCATGGTGTGTTCTAATGGAGATTTTGGTTTTCAACGCACTTCTATATTAATTCTAAATAGGGGGACAATCTTTGGATGTACTGAACCAAGTGGTTTTTTGTTTTCTTCTGCATTTCAGCTGAAGGTGTCATCGTTACATATAACATTTCCATCTGAAGGTGAATTCAGCAAGTTGAAGGATAGTGAGTTCTTGCAGAGAATCGGGATGCAGTATCACTGGAGAAATCGAGATTACAGAAGGTATGCTAGGTGCTAGCATGGAAATTTTAGGAATTCTGAGTAGAAATGTTTCAGTGTGGACTTCATGACCATATTAGATCGAAGTCAGAGTCAACCATTTAGTTATTTAGTCATAAAACAGACCGGTGAGACATACCTGAAAGCAGTAGCACTAATGTGGCAACACACCCACAGCTTGGGTACAACTACGCAACTACAGTTCTCATTAAATGTACAGATGTACTCCCACTGTCCTAAAATGTAGCAACTTTTAGCATTAAAAATTTGTTCCAAAATATTACAACTTCCCGCCTACATTCTAGACTGAACCAATCACAACATTTTCTCATTTAATTTCTCCACCTACTTCATCTTCTTAACCGATCATAACCTTTTCCCATTTAATTCCACCTACTTCCTTAATATCCATGTCTAAGCCTAAAACTTCTTATATTTTGGGATGGAGGGAGTAATACGAAATCCAACATCTCCTAGTAGTGGTGAAGAGATGATATACTTGTCATTTTTTCTGTTTGGAAAAAATGCAATGAACAAGCTAGTGATATACTGATACTAATCTTTTGTCACTTTCATTTCTTTATTTTTTTTAAAAAAAGAAGAAAATGGGAAACCCCGCAGGTTTCTATAATGGAAACCAGTTTGTGGTCACATGAAACCAGATAGAACTCACACTATGGGGTTTGTCTATTTCTGTTTAATTTTCCCTTTCTGGTCAAGCATACCAATAGAATAATTGCTGAGAGCAAATAATTTTAGAGAAAATAACCTGTTTAAGTTTAATGTTGTTGAGCTTAGCAAGGGTTGCGAATTTTCAAGTTAAAATTGTTTGCTTTCTACCCTAGACTTTACGAGACATTACTTTCAGTTGTTGTTTATCCAAAAGTTTATAAGGTTACATACTGAACTGCCTATATAGTAAATCAATATTTACCAATCTCTTTCTGTTCATTCTTTTTTCCCAGTTTTGACGAGTTTTTAATGGATTTGAAGCAACCCAAACGGAAGAATATCAGACAAGAACGTAAAAAGGTTTGCCTTATTTTGGATTACTTGATATGAATATCAGGCATGCATACAAAAAGGAACCAAAAAGTGTCTATAAGTTTGCTAATAAAGATATATATGTCTGCAAAGTGACTAACTGACTATTGTCTTCTTTACCATTCCCAGATTCCTGCTCAAAATTTGAAAATGAAGCGACTTCGTGGAGATGAGATAAAGGTGCTCATTTTATGAATGAATGATTCTGTGGCTGCACTATATTCGTTTTCTTTACTTCATCGAATATGCTTTAGTTAACATCAGCATATCCTCTTTGATTTGCTATTTTTCTTTACATTTTGAGAAGGCACTTACATATTCCATTCACTTATCATGATTTTTCTTTGCTTTGCAGAGCGAGCATTGGGACACCTTTTATAAGTTCTACCGCAACACAACTGATAATCAGTTCAGTGCATTTCCTTGTAATTTTTAAAATGTACTAATTCCCTATGTGCAAATTGGAATTATACCATATAATGTGGGCGTCGTATTAGTCTAAAATGACTTTGCTAGACTAATAATGTACTTCCTCCGTTTCACAATGTAAGATTTTCTAGCATTGTCCACATTCATATAAATGTTAATGAATCTAGGCATATATATATGTGTCTAGATTCATTAACTTCTAAATGAATATGAGCAATGCTAGAAAGTCTTACAATCTGAAACGGAGGGAGTAATTTCACTAAATCCACTATATGTGCTACTCAGCAGTGAGGACACAAATTAATCACAGTGATGAAATAAAATATCGAAACTAGTTAGTAAAATGCATGTAATTGCCATTGTGTTTCCTTGTACTTGGATAGGAAGCGCAAAGCTTATATTTAAGGATTATCGTCATGTTATCCCTCACCTTCACATTTTATATGGCCTGATACATATTTTTATATTAGTATAGAAATATTTTTCTTATGTTATTCTTCCCTTATAGGATTATTTTTTGTGTGCTTTCAGCTGGGGCAGACCATACTTGACAAGGGAATTCTTTCACCGCTTGGGAGAAAAGATGGGTGACAAGGTGATGCTTATTGTTGCTGAACATGACGATAAACATGTTGCCGGGGCTCTTAACCTTATTGGAGGTGACACATTGTTTGGCCGCTTATGGGGCTGTCTGCCAGATGCTTATTTCCCCAATTTGCATTTTGAAGCTTGCTATTATCAGGTAATTTGTGCATCTCTCAGAGCTTACAGAATGTGAACTTCATAATGGAAACTTATAATATGTATTGCAGTAGCACCTGAATATGTTTCAAAACCATTTCAAATGAAGATAACTAAATCAATATACATTTGATGTTTCTCGATGTACATATGATTTTGAATTTTTGTACCAGTTGGAACTCCAAAATATTTTGTATATGTATGAGTACTATTTTAGGAGTGGTACCATGAACGATGTAACAATTATATGGCTTGCTTATAGAATATACATACTACTCAGGCAATTGAAGCAGCTATAGAACTGAACCTGAGTAAGGTGGAGGCAGGTGCTCAAGGAGAGCACAAGATCCAGCGTGGTTACCTCCCAGTGACAACATACAGCTGCCACTACTTCTTAGATCCTGGTTTTGGGGCAGCTATAGGAAATTATCTTGTACATGAGACGGCTCAGGTATTTCATTTGAATATTTTCAGTAAGTTTTTTTATGAGCTGTTAATTCTTCTATGCATCTGAAGCCATCCTTTATGCTCAGTCCTTTGTATGTCGGATAAGGATCTTTTGCAATTTATATAATCCTAAATGCAATGCATGGCATCCAGTTATTACCCAACCATCTGACTGCATAGTATCTACAGTTATTGTAGTGTACTACTGCCATCCAAAAGCCAAACTCATTGCAGATTAGTACTACATCTGGCACCCTTAAATGTGAAATCTTGTCCTGTTTTCTGTTAAACGGTTCCAATGTTATGGCCTCAGATTATGATGGCTGATATGCATCTGCTCTGCAGATTTGTATGTTCTGCAGTCCAGTTTTGCAATGTGTACACCATTCATCGCCCTTAAACCCATCTGATTTTTTTACCACCATTTGAATATTCACTCCGTGTTCGCATTGTACTATGAAGAAACAACTAATGCATCATTGTCCTTCATTAGCCTTAATCGTTGGAGCTAAATATTCTCTTTTGGTGTAAATGTCAGGTTAAACATGTTATTAAGGTCCTGCATGATTCCGGCCCATACAAGGAAGATATACTGAACGAATTTTTGCTTACACAAGGGGATGGAGTGTAGAACATCAAAGGAACTTACAGCTATGAATATGTTCATGACTCAAGATGTGGAAGTAGCAAAAATATGGGTGATCCCATGCCTCCACAAGGAGATGATACTGTGAATATGTAAACCCACAGTTGTACATTACTAGGCTTGTAAATAGCTGTCATTTAAAAATCTCAAGTCATTAGCTTGAAATGTGACAACTGAAAGAAAAAACAACATTCTATTGCCCAGTTTCGCCTATCTGAATGGGATTACAAGTTTACAACCGTTGAGGCGAAAGTGTACTATGATATCTGCAATTTTTGTTTCTTTTCCCATCAGAAGAACCTGATGCTGCATTAGTCAACTTGTGTAGTTCTTTTCTCATGGGATCTGAACTACAATACAGGTGAGGAGTTGCCATCGGCGAAAGGAAAGGGCAAGGAAAAAGCTCTCTGAATGTCACATCGACATATCAGCCAAGATCCCAACCAAAAAGGACATCAGATACTGCCTCATTATGCTTTTTGTACAAGGATACAAGGATTGGTTCTTCCTCCCTCCTCTCATCAATCAAAGGCCAAGAAGAACCAAGCTCCAGGTTAGAATCTCAAAGCAAACAATCTACCTAAAACTTCCATCATCATCATCATCATCTGTTGTAACATTAACCTCCTCTCCATGCTGCTCTTTCAGTGCAGAAAGCTATCGCAAACAAGAAAGAGCTTTGCCAGTTGCAGCCTGCCTTTGCATTTGGACTGCACCGGTTGCTTCATTCGTCAAGCACACCACAGGTTGAGGAAGCAGCCGTTTGACCATCTGTGCAGCAGCTCACCCAGGCACAGGATGGCGTACACCAGCAGGATGAACTTGAAGAGGAAAGGGAAGTAATGTGACAGCTCGACGCTCGACGAGTGCAGGACCTGAAAGAGAAAACGCAGCGGCAAGCAAATTGAGGCGATGGTTCTCTTTCTTGTAAAACTCTCCGATGGCAACAGGTGACGACAATGCAGGTGGTTGAGTATAGCATATGCAGTGCATGAGGGGGGGACTTGCCATGGCAACTCCAGCGAAGTGCGCCCGACGCCGGGACGGCGGCGGCGGCGGCGACGCGGCGGTGGCGTCGACGACGACGTGGTCCGATGGCAGCAGCAGCAGCGGCGGCTTGCCGTCGCTCCCGGCGTCGCAGCACTGCGTGTTCGCCGGCGAGCAGTTCCTGAGACGCTGTACGTCCTTGCTTTGAAGAGGCTTTACGATGAAATCTTCAGCACCAGCATTCATGCATCTGTGTTTAGAAAAAGATTTTTTTTAAGAAAAAAAATCTTCTTATACTGCAGGATCACAGCAGTACTAGTACAGTACTAACAGGATATCAGAGATCACGAGACAGCAATCAATGAACCACACAAATGTCGTGGATCTCTGTATCTGATACAGCATCTTCTCAGAGGTCGAACGCCCATTCGACCAAAGTGCGGATCATAATGGGAAGGCAAGTACATGAACAGGCCAAGATGGGGTATTTACTGAAGCATTATTATTTCTCTTCCACTTCCTCGGTTATATTTTAAATGCAACTATAAATTTTCGTGTCTAACTTTGATCGTTCGTCTTATTTAAAAATTTGTTATAATTAGTATTTTTGTTGTTATGAGATGATAAAACATGAATGGTACTTTATGCATGACTTATGTTTTTAAATTTTTTTAATTTTTTTTTAAATAAGACAGATGATTAAAGTTGAGTATGAAAAAGTATGGCTACACTTAAAATACGATAGAGGGAGTACAAATCTATGAAGCTTTTTAAATGGATGGATGTATATAGCCATACGTATGTACAGTTCGCTACTCAGTTGTACACTCGGTACAGTGTACTCCTATTGTGCAGCAGGCAGAGGTATTGGGACCAAATTAAGACAGCTCCCCTTTTTTTTTTTACTTGCACAGAAACAGATGCTGAAGGAAAAAAGAAAGAAAAAGGATGAAAGCCTCTCTGCCTCACCTGCTGATCCTCTGGGGCTCGTTTTCCGACGACATGACGATCACTGGGATCGGCTTCAGAGGGCTCAGCGCCTGCAAACATCCAATGAAGCCATGAGCCAATCACACATCAGGTTATTACTGGAACTAATCACTACTACTGCTAATTAGTACTAGGGACACCAAAATAGTAGTAGCAACAGCGCAAGTCTGAATTTCTGCATTAACAGTATTTGTATTTATTTTACCTTGATGGCTTTGAGAAGCTCATAACCAGTCATCTCAGGCATGCAGTAGTCGGTGAGCACCATGTCGATGGCCTGCTCCTGCACATGATATTAAAAAGAGTTTATTTAGCCATCCAATCACATCCTGGTTAGCTGTAATTACACCCAGCCGTGTCACTACCACTCCTGTGTTGAGCTCACAGGGCACACCAAGAATCAAACCCATGCCATTAACCAATCCCATTAACCCAAGCTTGGTGTCATCAAGACACCAGACAGCTCTGTCAGGCTGCTGTAAGACGGCGAGTTTTTCTCTCTTTTTTAGTAGTATTTTTTTTCTTCTTCCTCTGCATGTCTCTCTCCCCCATGAAAAGAGGCCACCTTTTGCTCCCAAAAGGCGGAGACGAGGAGGAACAGAAACCCTCACGCGCGCACGCGCGCCGTACGGCCGGCGTACGGCCGGCGGTGCAGCGCCGCCGGCGAGAGGAGGAAAACAAAAATGGCGTCGCCATTTGTTAATGATCTGATCCTCGTTTCTTGCAGGCTTGCAGCAGCAGCAGGGCATCGGCGGCGATTATGGACGGTAATGGCGTTGGTTTAAGTGGTATGATTAGCAGAGACTTTTTTTTTTTTTTTTACCTTGCCTTCTTCCTTGAGGCCGAGGAACTCCATGGCCTTCTTGGCGCTGTCGACGGCGATTACTGCACGAAATTGAGCCGAGTTTCAGTCTTTCAGATTATTAGTCGCAAGTCAAGAGTTCAAGACTAGAGTTTGAGCAGCAGCAACAGCAGCAGGGTGCATCTGTTTCTTGCACACGAACCCAAAAACACCACCGGCAAGGGAAAACAAAGAACGGGAGAACAAAAAAAAAAAGAAAAAACAGAGTCGAGGAGAGATTGCAGTTGTGTCACAGCTTATGCATACTCATCAGGGGTCAAAAAAAGCATCAGTTTATGATGAAAACTAAAACAATGGAGTATAAGCATAACAAAGGAGAATGGGGGAAAAAACGAGCCCGGAATTGCGGTTGGAAGCCATGGAAGAAGAAGAAGCAGAGAGAGAGAGAGAGAGAGAGAATTCCAGAAAACGAATGGAGACACAGAGAGATGAACAAGCAAGCAGCAGCCAAGCTTACACTGCCGAGAAGAAGAAATGAAGAATCGAGGAGGGGATGAGATGAGCTGAGATGACTGACCGTGGAATGAGCCGGCGCATGCGCTGCTGCTGAGGAGGAGCTGCACCACCCTCCTGTCCACCGGCGAGTCGTCCACCAGCAGCACCCTCGTCACCCCCCTTCCTCCTTCCATCTCTCCCTCACCAACAACCACCACCACCACCAGCGGCGACGACGACGGCAACGCAAAGAGAGAGAGAAGCGAAGCACTGATCCTAGTAGCTAGCTAATCCAACCAACCAACCAGCTGTGCGTGGTGAAGTAGTAGTAGCCAAGCAAGTAAGGTGACAAGGCGAGAGACCGATATTGGGGGGGGGGGGGGGGTTTAAGCAGAGGCGACGAGCTCCTGCTGCCGCTGCTCGATCCGTGCAGGCCGTGCTATGCTCTCTCCTGCTCCTCTGGGTCAGGTCAGGGGGAGGTCGTGAGAGTCGTGGTGAGAGACTGCGTGAGCGAGCGAGAGAGACCGTGAGGACTGATGAGGAGAGGAAGAAGAGAGTGGAGGGGAGGTGGGCCCACCGGTGGGGGGTTGGGCTGTGGGTGTGGGGAGGTGGTAGCTCGTGGGGCACGGAGGGAGGGCGAGAATGCTTTTCCTCTAGATTTTGCTGTCGGGGAATCTCTCCACACACTCGCACACACAACAAACAACGCCTCTCTTCTCTTCCTCTCCGCTTTTCCCTTTTCTTCTCTCTTTCTCTCTTCTTCTACGAAAAGTACTCCTACTCCGTAAGAGTGTTTTCTCGCTTAAAATCAATAATCTGAAGCCCCTTTAAATCGAAGAATTTACGAAGGAAATCCGTAGGATTTAAATTCAACTTTTTTTCCTATTTAGTCCGTTAATATAAAGGATCGTAGATTTTCAAATTCTATGTAATTTTTATAGAATGGTTTGGAGAAAAATTAGCAAGAGCTCAGATCTCTTGAAAACTTTTTTTAGTCTATATCTTTCTTCCAATTCTTGTATTTTTCCTGTGGTTTATTCAAAGGTTACTTTTATGTTTTTTTATATTTTATAATTCACTGATTTACACATAGAATCATATTAAAATCTCAGTTTTTCATGTTCCTATGTTTCCTTAAACCTACAGGCCTTAAAATTTATCAGAGAATGTAAGCTTCAAACAATGTTAATTTTCTTATCTCAATCAATTAAAGAGCTCTATTGTTTAAATTTTCTACATGCTCTTTTATCCTAACCAATTATAACCATTTTCACTTTAGCTTAAAATCTCTAACTAAAGCTCCATATGGGCTTGTATTCTTTTGCGGACGGAGACGGGAGGGCTACACCTTTTTCTCGCCCAGAAAATATTTGGTGACGGCGACGCGCGCGTCTCCGTCCGTGGTCTCGTGTTTGCGCATCAAATCGAATGCTCGATTGCTCGCTTTGTCGCGGTTAATTAGTTTATTTGAGTTGCTGGTGTTAATTAACCATTAAATCGCCGGGGGTTTAGTTGTTGTTGTTGCTGTGGGAAATTAAAAACCGTTTGACCTACAGGCGGCGCTCGATCGAACTCGTCTGGTTTTTAGTGGGCGTCGCGGTTTTTAATCGGTGGAACTTTAAAAAACTCTGCACGTGGATTCGGTCCTGATACGTTCTAACTGTCTCGTGGGTTTATAATCTGGTGAGGTAGGTCCCGGATACAAGCTTGGCATTTGCTGGATTATCTCATCACAAGTGGACTTGCTTAATTTTCTATATATGAGATGTGTTTGAAATATTGGTTTGCGGATCATTTCTAGGAAATGCTTATCTGAGCTATGACTTTATAAACTCTAGCCAATTTTGAATTTTGTACAACTTAAGGACATTTTGTTGTTTTTTGTCACTCAACCTTGACTTTTAGAATGTTAAATATACAAGTGTATAAGTCTTACGTACCCTAAAATTATTTTTCCATTGCTACATTATGGAAAAGATAGGAAAAATATCTTCAATCAGATCCATATCTCTCTGTGGACTCTTTTAAATTCAAGGTACTTACACTAGTAATATGTCCTTGCTTAATTAAACATAAAAAGGGTAAGTATTTTCTCCCAAAAAGTCTAAGGTCACATTAATTGTTGGAGATCATCTCAAAAGCAAGTATGATACTTTTTTAGAAGGACGTTTTTCTTTTTCATAGGATGCGCTTTTCTGTTGCTACGGTAGCTTAACAACGGAGTTAGTTAATGAGAGTTAATTAAACCATTTTGCCGTGCTGCCGTTGCTGCGGTTGTTTTTTCTTGCTTGTCCTCCAGTTGGCAGCAACTGTTGCACACCCAGCGTATGTGAGATATAAGTGTACTCTGTACACTAGCTCTGTACGTTAAACCGAGGATTTGAGATAAGCGGTACATAAGCAGACACATAAAAGGCGATGTGTCGTTTCTGTACCTAAAGCGCATCTCTTTCTCAGTACGAATCTTTGATTTTTCTCAGTCGTCAACTTCTTCATGTCGCTCGAGCTGTGCAGATCTTCATTAATTTTGATGGTCCATGCATGTTCGAGAAATGACAATAGCACATTATTGTTGTTGTTGTTATTGGACAGAGTGGTCATTTCTTTCGCAAGTTAACCAAGTTTTTATTGACAGAAAAATAGCTTTAAGGGTATGACGCTTGTTGGCTGTGTACATCGGGTTGAAAGTAGAGACTGATTTTATCCCTTTTTTTTAGAAAAATATTGTTTAAAGAGTACACCTATTTATTCATATGATGTGTAATATGCTGGTATAGATATGCATCGACAGCTCTAGAGGTGTCTCGTTTATATTGGTACTTTAGCTTACAAATTATGCATTACTACGAGTACGATTCTCAAGCTCTTTATAGTGTAATTTTTATTAAAAACTGTTTTCGATATTTCTTACAAAACTTGTTCTAAAATTGTCTTTCAACTTTCTAATCTTTAGTTATTGAGAAAATCCAAAAAAAATATCATTAACAAACATCCAATTCTAATAAATACCATCGATAAAATTATTTCTAAAACAAAATTGCTTATACGATAAAATTTTCTGAATGAAACTCATTTATGGCATGGACTTGTGTGTTTGTTAATGTCATTTCTTGGAGTTTCTCTTAGTTATTTTGTTTATGCTCTCGAATAATTATTATAAACTCAGTTCCATTCAGCATCCATCATCAACTGGCCCCAAATCAGTCGCAACAACCCACATGTGCAAATTTTTCCTTCGGCAAAATTTGCTTCCACATTTCCGTTAAACAGCTCTGTGTATCATACTTTTAACCTTAGGATTCTTAACAGAATCTGCCAACTTGTGGAAGAGGAAGAGGAAGAGGAAGCAATCTATCATCTCTATCCCAAAATACAAATGGATCCAATAAAACATATAAAACAGTGCGACAGATTCGAGACCAACACAATTGAAATGTCAGGGAAACAGTCCAAGATCAACATCTGGTTCATCAAATGTGCATCCTGCCGTTCCGTACACCCTAATCAAAGATACATAGAGCACTGAACAAGAGGGGGTTCGTATTAAACCACATTCTCTGCTATAGCTTTCTGGCACACGAGTGAGTACCATGCACGGGCGCCACGCCATGGCATGGCATGGATGGAGCGCTTGGCTCTGCGTAGCAAAGAGATCTCAGCCATCCGTACGCAGGATCCGACGGACGCCCGCGCGTGAGCATCCATCTCCTCGATCTCCCTCTGCCACTGGGCGCTGTGGCTGTGTGCTGCACTGTGATTCTGTGAAGATTTTGTCGTCGGAGCCACCTGTCGGCTCCGCCAAAGGAGATCGTCGAGCGAGCGAGCGGTAGCTCCACCTGCGTGGGCGGGGACCTACCTACCCGGCGAGCTTCCTCTGCTCTACGCAGCCGGCCGGGACCAAGTCCGGAGGGTGGGTGTGACCAAAACGTACCGTACGGAATCGTGCCTTCCCTCCTTCCCAATCCTAAACCCTAAACTCTAACCTAAAAATATGTTTGCAACCCCATATTTCCAACCCCTCTCCCTCATTTTCTGCGCGCACGCTTTTCAAACTACTAAACGGTGTGTTTTTTTATAAAAAAAATTCTATATGAAAGTTGCTTAAAAAATTTAAATTAATCTATTTTTGAAAAAAAACAAATATTTAATTAATCACGTGCTAATGTACCGCTCCGTTTTCCGTGCGCATTGTGCACATTCCCATCCCCTGGTAGCGAACACACCCCCCTCACTCCATCCTCCACATCCACCTCCGCAGCATTGCACTCCACCACTCCGCATTGCCACAGGTGGTGGGAATAAGGTTATGTTTAGGAGAGCTTAAGATAATGGCTGATCGATAGCTAGTTTTTAAGAATCCAAGGAAGTTCTAGTTTCTAGTTTTGTTTTCAATTCTATAACTACTTAATTTTTCTATGATAAAAATGTTAGATTATTTAGAAAAGCTTTTGATTTTGAGAGAAGATAAAGTTGTTTCAGTTGAACCCTCAAACAATTTTTCGTCGACGGGACCATGGCCGCCTACCGACGCGCTGGTGAGATCGACGGGAGATAGAGAATAGGAAAGATGAAATAGAATAAGGGTAAATTAGTCTTTTTCATCCCAACGAATGGCAAATGTGACAAGAATGCTACAAAATCAAAGAAAAACTAGTGGCATGCTTCTGACTGAAAGGGGGGAAATTTTTGTGCTATTTTTGGTACCGACTTTTTTCTATACTATAGATGGAATTTTCTCTTTTTTAATCTCATCAAACTATCAACTACTTCGGTCATGACCAGACCGAACGGAACTGACTAAACCGAATTACTCTATCTTAACTACTCTATAATATAATGCATTTCGGTATTCAGTTTTAACCAATGACCGAAACTTTTAAGATCGGGTATGACCAAATGTCCAAGGGGACGGAGTTAGAACGAAATGGAGGGAGTGCTACTTATTTAACTTACTCTACTTTATATCGAGTTTAAGCTGATACAGGTGTCTAAGTTTGTACTGAGGAGATGCACACATGGTGAAAATATGTAAGATATAAATAAAAAAAATTCTTGACCGGATTCCTAGGCACCCCCTAATATACTCTGCCTCCGCCCCTGCAAATGTCCACCTCTAAGCTGGTATTAGGAGAGAAAGGGTGTAGCGGTGTGTATACGGGTGCGTCTTTCATATAAGTAAAAAAAAACATTTGTAGCCGTTATATAGAGAAAAACTAAACTACTCTTTCTATTTCAGATTACTTGTTATTCTCGTTTTATCTTAAATCGAACATTTATGTCTTTGACCATTAGTTATAGTTTACTGTCATGTGATTTATACGTTTAGATTCATCCGGAGAAATAATTTCATATTTATATGTTGTTAAATTAAATGTGATCTATATGTTGTCAAATTACACCTTTTTTAAAAAATAATAATGGTTAGAGATATAAATGTTTTTACTTAACAACAGAAAACTTTAGAATGACATATAATTTGAAACAAAAAGAGTAGGTTTACTTTTGTATGTGTACTTTCTGTGGGTATCACATTAGCTACTTAGGGCATGTTTAGATTG